GAATGTAACTAGTAGGTTAAAAAAGTCCAATTGTAACGTCAAATAACGAGAGAAAAAAAATTAAGAAGAGAGTCTGTAATGCAAGAAGGGAGAAGAAACCCTATCGAATGTTGTTTGGTAAAAAAGAAGAGAACAATAAACTCAATGGAAGAAGGAAACCCTAATTCCATGTATTTGAGTGCCCATCTACTTGGAGAATTGTTCCTCAAGCTTCCCCTGAAATCTCTAGGCAGATTCAAAAGCGTGTCCAAAGAATGGAAATCGATACTGGAATCAAAGTGGTTCGTGGATAAACATCTCATTCTTGCAAAATCTTGCCAGAAAATCCTACTGGCCTATGACTGCGAATGCGACGTCTCTCCGAGTCTCCTCCCCGGGGTTGAGGACTGCGAATGGGGCCTAGAGTTTGTCTATTTGCACTGCGACGCCACACGACCGTCGATGAGTTACGAGGGTTTGGTCTGTTTCCCTGAAACAGAGTGGGTCAACGTTTTGAACCCTTCCACGGGTCAACTCCGGCGATTCCATTGCCCCTCCCTCTTGAATCCCCAACCAAACTCCACCACGTTTAGGGAAGGTACAATCTATTTTTATTTGTGTGAGTCAACCTTTATTTGTAGGATGATGTACGATTTAAAAATAATAATATTCCAAATATATTTTCAGAATCATGGACGACTTATTTCCCGGGATATTGTGCGATGGGATTCGGTAGAGACAATGCTAAGGGTAGCTATAAAGTAGTAAGGATCTTCCGTGATCCTAACTATTGCGATATCCTTGACGTCAACAATGGTGAATGGCGGAAACTTTGGAAACCAAATCGTTACAAGGTTGATGTCGCAAGAAAATCGGCGTGTGTCAACGGATCAGTGTACTGGTTACGAATTAGGCATGATCATGTCTACACGATACTCGCCTTGGATCTTCACACGGAAGAGTTCCATGATGTCCCACGTCCGCCTCTTCCCAAGGGCATCATGTTGGAAGCACAGATTGCCAACATTAGGGATCGTCTTGCCATAGCCATGCCCGTTTCCCATCCTCTTCAGAGATATGGAGTATGGATGATGCACCACAAGATACATGGAGCAAGACTCATTCCATTAGTTTAGCTTCTCTTGGTATGGTGGACTTGGAGTCTAGGTCCTTCACGCCCATGACTCTCTCAAAGCAAGGGGATGTTCTCTTTTATGACGATGAAGACTTGCTGTTCCAGTATATTTCAGAGAAGACAAACTCCAAAGGCTCCCTGAAGACATTTGTGTTATATCTCCTTACGTTGAGAACTTGGTCCCACTTCCGGCTCAACAAGTAGAGTTAAGGACTGGAATTACTTGCCTCCACCCTCTTGAAATAGAACCACTGGTATGTTTATATACTTACGGCTCATCAAGTTGAGTTATTGAGAATGAACTTGTCTTCCTCTTACCATGTTTTATGATTTGTAGGATGGGATTCAACCAAGAAGCGTCGACGAGTTTCTCCGGAAGGGAATGAGAGGTCAGAGAATCTTCCAAATGTTTCAATTCGTAATGATCCACCAGATTTTTGATGACATATGCATGTATGGTTTTTTGATCAAGCGGTTTGTTATTTGATTAACAGATCTAGGAACTTGGCTATGGAAGAACAAAATCCTCATGCTTGTCTGTTTCCTGCTTGGCATGCTGCTTCTGCACCTCTGGCGGCAACCTGTTGAACCCATTGACGGGTTACCTCTGTTGATTCTATACCTCATCATCCGGTATTTGATAGGTGATGATGTAGCATCATCCATCTACTTCTTTTTCTGGTTTTTACTTAATGCTTTCGTAATACTCTTGTTGGGCTTTTCTTTATTGTTTTTAGTTTTAAAACTAAGACGGTTTCGCAACCGGTAGATTATATCTACATATACATTTTTACAGGGGATTTTTGCAAAAAGTCTTTTGGATCCGGGTTTGACCCGGTTTTAGTCTATTCGGATTTTGGATAAGCAATTTTAGGGATGTTGTCTTAATTTCAAACTAATAAATGAAGCCTTTATTAATTTCAAACTGAAAAAATTTATGGCAATATTATAACGAAATTAATTCCTTTATTAATTCATATTTGTTAATTTCCTTAACTTCTCCCCACACCTAATTATTAATTTTCTTTAAGAGAATATGCGTATAATAAAACAAATAAGTTACCTATTTTAATGGTAAATAATCTTATTTGTTATATATATATATGATATCTTTAAACTAACCATATTTGTTATTTACCTTAACTACTTCTAACCATAATTATCTAACTACTTATTTTTATATAGAAAGAATATGTGATTAAAATAAATATTTTGTAAATATTAATTTGGGGACAAATTCTTACGAAAATAATTTGTTTTGTTATAAAATTTAATGTTTGTTATTTTTCTAAATTATTTTTGAAACTAAATTACATAAATACTAATAATAATTTGTCTACACCATAAAATGAAAATAGTTATTTATTTTAAATTTTTATATAATATTACGTAATTTATTTTAGTTATATTTTCTGATATAGGTGAACAAATTATTTTCGTATTTATGAAAATTATAAAATATAAATTAGTTTAAAATTTGAAATAACTATAATCCTAAATTTTAATCTTTATGGGTAGGTTTTTTTTTGTGACCAAAAATATTCAATTGGATCTTTCTTTAAATTTTGGCAATATCCAAAACGAAATTAATTTATAAACTCTAAAAATATCTATATTTTTAACTATTTCTATATCTAAACTCTTTATTTATGACATATATTCTTCACGATTTTTACAGAAAAAGATATAAAATATGATGAGTTAATGCTAATTAACAAATTTGAGCTAATTTTTTACAATCTCTCGACCTAATTTAAACAGAATTATATAATTCTCATTTCACTTTTATTTGATGTTATATTTATATTATTTTGAATTATTATAAAATAAATGTAGTTAATAAATTGGATATTTTTGATAGAAATAATGATAATCGGATATATGAGTATTTTTTACAGCAAAAATAAGAAACCTTACCGGACTTGTATGGTAACTTCTATGTAAATTATTCAATTTAAAATCGAATATTAAATCAACAAATACAATTCCGAAGTATATGGTAACTTCTTCGTTATTTAGGGAAAAAATTTCGCTAAGATATATAGAATCTTCTAATTATCAGATTAACCATCAAATATTCTCTACGATCTTGAACTATGGAAAGTCATAAAGTTGGTTTACTGCAAAATTATAAAAATCGCGAAAGCGCAAATCAAATATGTTAACGATAGAAACTAAAATTAATTTTGTTTAGATATTCTGATGCGATTAACTATAGCATATCTACGCTAATTACTTATAGAATATTTTGCAGAATATGCTTTTCTTAAAACCCTAATAAAGCAACCTAATTCTAAACATTATAAATATAGGCTCTGCTATTCGGCAAATCATTTTTCATTCATCCACACAAACTTCTCTCAGCATCTATGCTTCAGTTTTTGAGCAATCTAATTTTTATTTTTCATTGTGTATTCTCTATTTTCTATTAATGATGTTATGTTTCTACGATTTAATTCTTTTTTTTGTTTTGATATCTCAGCATCTATGCTTCAGTTTTTGAGCAATCTAATTTTTATTTTCATTGTGTATTCTCTATTTCTATTAATGATGTAATGTTTCTACGATTTTAATTCTTTTTTTTTGTTTTGATATCTGTTTAATACAAACGCGTGCGGCGTGTCTAAGTATATGTTTTCCTAAAAACATAGTATTTTCCTTACCCCTAAAACATTCATTACCAAGATTTCAAAATTCCATTTTACCGCTAAATCATAATTAATATGACAGATTTTTATTGTAAACAATTTATCATTTTTTCATACACTACACAATTTTCTCTACTAAAAATATACAATATTAAAATCAATGTCACAACATGTAAAATTAATATTTCCAGCGGTATACCGCGGGCTCTCAACCTGAAAAAGAAAAATTAATTTTATTATTTAGTAAAATTATAGGCCCGCGGTGTACCGCGGGTTAATTTCTAGTATATATATATATATATAGGATTAAAAAAGGTTGTATAAAATGTGATTTTAGATTTTCTTCTTTTCTTTTCCTATTTTTTTTTTCCTCATAAAACCAATACTCCGCATGATGTCTAAAATGGTTGACGATACTTCAACCGAGAAACCCGTGTTTTTTTTTATATATTTTTATTTCACTTTCGAATCTACTACTTTCTCGTCTGTCCATTAATGTTATTTGAAAGACTGAAAGTTTACAAACAAACGAAGTACATTTAGTATTAAATAGGATTTGTTGAGTCATATTTATCGGATATATAGTATAGTCAGTGTTCTAAAAAGCGGTCTAGGCGGTCGCCTAGGCCCCGACTAGGCGCTAGACTCTCATGCGACGCCTAGATAACCGCATTGACCGCCTAAAATTACATAGATCTTGTTTAATGTATTTTTTCAATTTTAATTAGAGTTTTATTTATATATATAGTTATAAATATTCATATATTGTTTAATATAAATATAAATAAATATTTTATCTAATTTTTAGTTTTATATAGATATTTTATATAACTTTTATATATAATATCATATTGATAATGTTTTATGTTATAAACGTCTAAACCGCCTAAAAAATCGTCTAGGCCCCGATTAGGCGTTCTAGGCGCTAGGCACTGGGTCACCGCCCGCTTAGCGCCTAGCAAACGAAGTACATTTAGTATTAAATAGGATTTGTTGAGTCATATTTATCGGATATATGGTATAGTGAGATATTTCTTTGAATCTGATACTCCATATAAGATACGGTCTCTCTCCTCCTTTCAAGAGGATTTGAAAGGAGGAGAGAGACCGTTGAACAGTTGGGATTTGTATAAAAGTTGAACAATGTACGTTGGAAAGTTACTTTTTGAAAACAATATGTATAGTTTAGTCATTTTTTTTTAATTATAGATCTATTAATCAAATTTTAAAGATTTCTTTAACCAATTGAAAAAGTACATGGCGGCTTACAATAGGCCACATAATGATCACATGCGTATGACCAAATAACATGAGATTCCATTATTCCATATTTGGTGCAACACAGTCACCAACCACTATCAAACGCAATTTCATAATTGTTCAACCAAAATCTCACCCAACTCTCTCTCTCGTACATATATATACACATACTAACATATAAGAGAGGCTATACACGCTAAATCACTCTTCTTACATTACATTGCTTTATATTTATGATGCCGGAACAAACGTACATGTACGCCTATGTATCGCTGCCACACCATGACCAGCGAGAACGCTACTCTCAGAAATGTTATCGGGACGGAAGACGGGTGGTGTTGGCAAGCTACGACTTGATGGGATCAGAGAGATTCAGTTTCAAAGAGAAGCTTAGGAAGTCGATGAAAGGAATAAACGAGTCGGCCGAGCGATGGGTTTCTGAAGTGCGTCAAGGTACGACCAAGAGACGTTTTGCGATTAGAGTTTTAAGGACAAAACTTGGCTTCTATTCTTGCTTCATTCGTAGTGTTGGTTGTTTTACTCCTTGTGTGGGGCACAGAGATAATTTCATGAAGTAATTAATCTAACCCTAAAGTATTTACCAATGTTGCTCTTCATACATGTACATGTAAATATTTGATTTCACACACACGCACACACACGTGTGTGTTTTCATTGGAGAGTTTCGTGTGAATATTTCAATGTCCCACATTGAGATTCAAGTTGGAGACTTTGTTGAGTGAATTAAGGTTTGGATAGGCTTACAGTTTATGGTGTATGGCATATATGTAATCAGAAATCAAAACTATATTTTGGTATTCCGATGATTTATGATCACTATGAATTGATGCTCACAAAATTCACATAACCATCCAATATTTTGTAATTTATTAGTTTGAATTTTGGCTGAGAATACTTGATTATCCAAGAAAATGTATGTCTTATTTAAATATAAAATTAAATTTTCACCCCAAAAAATAAAACTAAAAAATACAAGTATGTGAACAGTTTGTCTATCCACAATTATAGACTAAAAAAGAAAGAAAAAAACAATATGTGGACCTTTCACTCCTAGGAAAATAACACAATTGGTATATATATATCCCCAATCAATATTATTTTCAATGGTCCATTTATTTGTTGCAACGATATTTTGTAATTTATTAGTTTGAATTTTGGCTGAGAATACTTGATTATCCAAGAAAATGTATGTCTTATTTAAATATAAAATTAAATTTTCACCTCAAAAAATAATACTAAAAAATACAAGTATGTGAACAGTTTGTCTATCCACAATTATAGACTAAAAAAGAAAGAAAAAACAATATGTGGACCTTTCACTCCTAGGAAAATAACACAATTGGTATATATATATTCCCAGTCAATATTATTTTCAATGGTCCATTTATTTGAATATTTAGATATATAGTTAATTTCTCCTTAAAGAAAAAGAAAAAAGAAAATATGAATAAATCAAGAGATGATATATAATTAAGGTTTACGAGTAGGCTGAGGCGCAGGAGCAGGACCACAACAAGTAGTAATGATTTTGTTGCAGCAATGTTTACCCACCACTGCACCAACGATGTCATATAAGTTTCGTCCCTCATTAGTTTGGCCTTCCAATAAGTTCCGTCCAAAATTAGTCCTGCCATCAACTTCAGTCACGGTCATTGCTACTATCATTAGCAATACGGCGATTGAGACAATCACAGTTTTCCTTTCAATAGCCATTATTTTTATTTGTTTAGAAAGTTTTTTAAGTGTTTTTGTTTTTTTTTTTGTTTTTATGAATTTCTTTATTTTTTTTACTGATGATTATGGGTATAACTATCACTCTATCAGTGTATTTATATGGTAAACCAAGCTGACTAATTTAGTTAGCTCGTTGAATGTTTCTTGTGGATGGTATTTGAGTGAATCTTATTCTTAATTTTATACGTTTAGTACATGAATATCTGAAGACCTGGTATTTTCGTCTATGCAAAATGCGGGTATATAAAAGTTGATTTTACAAATATTGATACAAATATGAAATTGATGAAACTATATATTTGTTTGTGACCAAATTTTAATTTAGTTTGTATAGTTTTATAAATGAATTTTGATTTTTTTTTAGGATGTTGAAATTAAGAATGGAACAGAGGTCCCTTATGTAAGAAAAATGAAGTATATGCTTAACATCACTAGTCTAAATATGATTTCAAAAGAGGGCCACACTTTATAAAATCTCAAATAGTTTTTTTATGGTTACATATGTTGCTTTTTGAGTTCAGTGGTTGGAAACTTAGAATCATAATTAGCAGCCTCCTATTCATGGTAATCAAATTATTTGCTTCGCATTCTAATTATGTCTTTGATTAGTCGATGATGATTGTTTTGGTGATATACAAAGCGTAGTCGGAATATCAATAAATATTAAAAACGTTGATAAGAAACATAATCATCAGGATTTGGATAGTGTATCTTTCTAACGAATAACTATTTGTAGTGGATTCCATACCAAATCTAGTCCTGAAAAGACGAGACCAAGGCGACGGAACAAGGCTTCTATTCTTGCCAAGGTACGACCAAAAGACACTTCGCGATTGGAGTTCTAAGGACAAAAATTTCCTTCTATTCTTGCTTGCTCCGTAGTGTCGGATGTTTGGCTTCTTATTTGGGCCATAGAATCATAAAAGGAGTTTAAATTTTATAACTAATTTTTGGTATTTCCATTGATATATTAATCACTATCGATTAATGCTCATAAAATTTACATAACCATTGAATTTTTTCGTAACTAAATTCAATTTTCGCCAAAATATTCGATTGTTCAAGAAAACGTATTTTTATTTCCTCGTAATTAGGTGAAATCTAAATTCCAAAAAATATATAATGAATAACTATTATCGTTTATATAAAGGAAAATTTTAAGACAAACAAATGAATGTGGGGACGGTTTATCTTTCTCTCGACTATATAGTTTATTACATCAACAATCCTCTTAAAGAATAACATGTTTGGTTCATATAATATACGTATATTGCTAATCAAATATTATGTTCAATGGTCCACTTATCTGAATATATATATTTTTTTGGTAGGCGACTTATCTGAATATATTTATACAGTTAATCAATTCTCCTAAGAAAAAAGAAAAAGATGAGAAGGAATTTATTACGAGGTAATATATCAATACAATAAAACTACTAACAGTCTCTCCAGCAATGACACATCAGCTTTTTAAGTTCTTGTGGGACTGACACATCATTAAAAATGATACTCAATCAAAACATAACAATTAATACAACTTATCTCCCCAGCATGCCACATCAGCTATCTATTAAAAAAAAATACATCATTTTAAAAAGACAATCAATCAAATTAAAACATATAATACATACTTTTTTTTATAATAATGATACATGGATTTCTAATTTGTTCAAAGAAAAACAAAATCAAATTATAAATAAAATGAATACACATTAGCTTATGTAATGTTGACACATAAAAAATTACTATTATTATTTGATGGAACTGATCAAATATCTAAATATAAACTTTATATCTATAGTTATTTTTACATAACATAATTATATTTAAGACGTTTATAAGAAAAAAATTACTATATAACTCAACAATCAACATGTACCAATTTAGTTTACACATATTTTTTTTGATATTCAAGTCCACCAAAATTTTGATTTTGTACTACTAGAATTTGGTTTAATAACTATATTCTTAATTAAGCCACTAATCACTTTTATTACTTTATGTCTTACTAGAAGCTGATATTTCATTTTAAAAGTAAAATCAATCAAATTAAAATAAAAATACACATCAGCTTTTATTAACATAGACAAAATTTATTAAATAAAATTTATAAAATATCTTTATTGGACGAATAATTCATATTCCTAATTGTAAGGATTGTTAAATCACTAAATAATACAAATATATAAATTTAAATAAGTTTGTCTATTCCGTTTTTTTGTTTGATTTGGTTCAATATTATTTTTAGATATTTCATTTTTGTAAATTATAGTCTAACTTTATAAACAAAATAATGATATTAACTGAGTATATCAAATAAAAAAAAGAATAAAAAAATAATGGTGACAAATATTTGTATTTTTATCTACGTTTATACGGCGTAATTGCGTTATAAAATAATAGTAAAGTAGTGTTTCTTTGATTTTCTGCTAACATCGAGATTGTGGGTTTCTCCTTTAGTTACGAAAATGAGTAAAATATTTACAAAATCCAGTAACATAATTGGAATAATAATTTTATATTAAAATTATGTTATAAAATAAATTATAAGTTATCATTTTAATAAATTATTGTGCTTTAAAGGTTAAAAGAATAGTTTTAAAAATTGAAAGTCTATGTTAAATATTTTAATTGTTATTTAAATTATGGTTGTGCACCATGTGTATCTTTAATAAAAAAAAAAAAAGTAAGGTTCTTGAAATATATTAGTCGCTTTATATACATATAAAAAGAAATCAGATATTTGGAAAACGTTATACACATTGTAAAAATAAAACAAAACAAAAAAAATACAAAAATTGACTATATGGTACATTTATTTTACAAAAGTAATATATAACATGTATTTATTAATGTGTGCACATATAATAAAAATAATAAAATACTAAAATTTGAGTAAAGGTAAAATACCCAATCCTTGAATCATTTTAAATTTATACCAATCATACTTGTAATTATATTAAAACAAAGCTAATTTATAAAAAAATACCCTGCGGCAGAGCGCGGGTTCGTTCTCTAGTATATTTAAAAGTAATACAGTTAATGTTTAGGAAAACAACAAGTGTGAATGAACACGTTGCAACAACCTCCACCAAAATCAGCTAAGCTCCGTCGGACATGAATTCGACCATCAACTTCGGTAGCGGTTGTTGCTACTATCATTAAAAATATGGCCATTGACACAATCGCAATTTTCTTTCCAAACGTCATTTTTTTCTTAGTAATGTTTTGTTATTTTTTTTGTTATTTATTTTTTTTCCTTTGAATTTTCTGGCTGTTGATTATGGATTTAACTATTAGTGTATTTATATCTTGAGCCAAGCTTCCAAATATGGTAAATTACTAATTCAGACAACTTGTTGAATGTTTCTTGTGGATGGTATTTGAGTATCGATTTAATTTTTAATTCCATATCTTCAGAAATAGAAAAATTGATGGCTCAAAAATTACACTCAAATACGCTTGTTGGAGGTACGTAGCTTCTATATTCATTAAACAAAGAAAAAGCATAAAAGCTACCTCCAACAATCAAAACATTGACATCATGAGTCTAATGAGTTAGCCATGACCATAAACTAAACCAATGGAGAATAAACTATGCATAAAGTATTTCTTTTTTGTTCCTCCATAGCGAAATGCCAAATTCTATAGTGTCAAATCAAATAACAAACTAACGTCAATTGTAAATGTTGTAAATCTCTTAGGATCAATTAATGAAGATTTGAGAGTTGTTCACCTTTTCTCTTATAGCTAAACTTATCAACTGTTAGATTGATTTTAGTATTGTACCCAAATAGTGCACATTTCAAATTTCCAGCGAATCTAACCTCTTGTGACGCCAAAGATAGGAAACAAGCCCTACAACAACAAGTTATAAGATATTTTGCAAGAAAAATAAAAACTGATCATGTAACAAATCAGTTTACATGTTTGCTTTACCTTTGAATTGGTTGAAAAGCTTCTAGAGTAGACAGTAGCGAATCTGTTAACATGTCTAGAGCGAGCATAACTTCTAAGTAAACCACGTCTACGGTTGTTTTTATCATCAGGTGAGACAAGATTAACAAATTGTGAGGGAGCAATCATCTTCTCACACGTCATTAGAGGACACTTTATATTCAACTCTCCAGCTTTAATTCCTCCATCGACATAGGCTGCAATATGTATAAGCAATAAGAACAAATGATGTTGCGCAGATAAATAAAAAACCCAAATATTTACCTTTATCACATGAGTCACATAAGAAGTGACTGCACCCACGGGTTTGACATGGTTTAGAAGTGCCATATACTTGACATTTAACCTAAACAAAAACAAATTTGTTAAAGTACAATATAAAACTGGAAAGAGATAAGTGAAAATAGAGACTATTAAGATCTTTTGATCAACTTAGAGACTACCTCTTCGAATTCAGGCTCGAAAGTAAGGACAACTCCAGATCTTTTGATCAACTTACTAGCAGGGATATCCCAATTATCCACTATAAATCTTTCATTCCTAAGTAAGAATAATGTATATTAGTGAAACATACCATATGATGCTGAGTGAAACTAAAGTTATATGGTTTAGACATGCCAACTGAATGCAATTAATAATATATGAATTCTGATAATAAACAATGATGATTAATTTGTGATAACAATTATGGTAATAATAAATATTTATTACCTATGTAAATAATTTATCACTGGTATTTATTTATTTTAGCCAATTTAATATAGCTGTTAATAAAAAAAAATATAGATGTTAATTTATTTTTAGTTCTCTCAAAATTTTCTGATTTTCTTATAACCAATTGCAAAACCTAACCAAATACATCGCTCGTAGTCAAAACTAGTATACGTGATTTGACTTGTGAGATTGGTTCAACAAGCCCTCGTTTTGTTTATACAATTACAATTATGGGCCCAAGTAACGAGTTCCTATTGGGCTCAATAAAGATAGTTCAAAAGCCCGTTATTATCTAATCAACTGAATAGCGACCATTCCGGTAACACAAAATGCTAGGGTTTTGCTGGATTCTCCTCCCCCACAGTCACTATATAATCTCAAATTTATCTCTCTCACCGCATCAATCATCTCTTTTCGTTTGAAACTTCTTCTTATAGATCTGTGCCTTTTCGAATGTTTTTGTTTTGCGAGAAAGGCTCCATTTTTAACGAGTCAACAGCAGGCGCCACTTTTAATGGTGACCTGACTGCCGCTTGGAGCCCAGATTAAATGCCAGAGGAAGACCCATGAAACTTATTTCTCAATAGTTTCATGATTCAATACTCTTGGCTACATATTATATAGATTCTTTGGTTTTGTTTTTCTTGTGGTGATAATGATGGGTTTTAGAGTACTTGTTGTTGGGTTTTTGGAGATGGCATTAAGTCAGACACGGGTGCTTGTTGGGTTTATAAGAAACAGCAGAGCTACCTTTTGCATGGTGCCTATATTTTTTAGCTTCTTATCACGATTGGAGGCAGTCTTGATCTGATGTCTTCTCATGTCTTCCTCCAAATTAAAAGCAGCTACAGTTTTTGTTCTTTCTATTCAAACATACGAATGTTTTATCTGAACTTGAGTTTTGCAAGAGGGATTCTTTGGTATGATACTAGGATGTTGGTAGAATTGTAACCTAAGTTACAAACTTGTTACAATTGATGTTTTTGGCATAATGAGAGTATTGCTTCTTTAGAGCAGCAGATATACGGGAGCTGGATTCTATCATTCAAAAGCTTTAGCATTGTTTGGTAACTAAGTCCCTTGTGCTGAGATGCTTGGTAAATAAGTCCATTGTGAGTTTGGGAGATGGTTATCTGTGATTTCTAATTGAAGAGAACTGTGTTTCGGTGGAACAAAATTTCTAACACAAGATGATTGAGGAGAGAATATCCAAATTTACGTTTTGTGTTCTAACTTATTTGAGTTGTGGTTACCTCATGGAATTTAGAAATTTACTCTTGATTGTCCAGATTTTCTTGATTATCTGGTCCATCAACTTTTTTTCTTGTCGAAGTTGAGATATAAGTTCCATCGATCATCATAATTGCATTAAATAAGAAAAACAAATCCGTAATGGACAAAACATTAAAAAAGATTGAACTAGTTTTGATGAAGTCGGACCAAATTAAGGAGCTATAACCCAACAAGTAGAGGGTGAGAGGCTCCGCCACGTGAACAAACAAGCCATCCATGGATGGATAAAGGGTCGTAGTTACATCGATTAAACTTATTGAATAGGTTTTCCTCCATCTCTCTAATTTGGAATCCATGGACCAAATCTCTAGTTCCCTTTCAAGTTTTCTTGTCGTCATGATACGCTTCTGTGTGAAGATCCAATTTATAGAGCATCCTCAAAACTACACAACTCTCTGCACAAGAATTATTTTTTATTACTCAAAAGTTTAGAGAGAGGAAATTTCAATCTGTTTGTTTTGCCGGCTAGTCGGGCTTTTGCCTGGCATCTCCGGTAGCGGCGATGGCCAGTTTTATGTTCGGCAGCTTCTGGTTCATATAACAGGAGTTGGCTGGCTTTATTTCCACCATCTTTCGTCTTTTTCTTTTCAATAAGTCTCATGATGTGTTGGTGAAATAGGTTTAAGCGATTTGTCGCTTTGATGCTTATGAACTGGCGCGTTTCCTTTGTGTTTGTGATTACAGATTTTGATTCGGAGATTTGCGATTTGTGTTGAAGAAATGAAGTGGTTTCCATCGTTTATTACCATAGCCTTAAGCTGTTTTCTGTTTGTGAAGCTTCGATTGGTTTATCCCGGTGAAATCCATGTCTGATTTCTTTATCGGTGGTGATTCCTTTATCGGAATCGGTGCTCGGACGGCGAAGGATGTTGTCGGATTACTTTGGTTACTCATCTAGCACGTGTTATATTGTTGACACGTAGATATCGATGGAGTCAAAATGAAGTTTTCTTCTTGCGTTAGCAATTCTCTTTTGGGTCTGTTGGACCTTGTTAACTTCTGTAATCTTAAGCAATATTTCTTCTGTTATTTCTTAGAGTTATATTTTCTTTATTTATAGACGAGTGTGGAGTGCTTCTATAAACATGCGAGAAGCCATGGTTCCACTCATGTTGAATGTATAATGTAATCATTTGTTTCTTAAAAGTGCCCAAAACAATTTTTTATATAATAATTATTCTTATGAGTGATAAGGTAGTGGAAAACCTAATAATCAATCAAAACGTCGTTCAGCTTAGCAAGCCCTCAAAACAAGTCTGTTTCTGCACTCTGTCAAGGTCTCTTCTTCATGATATATAATCTAAAACATCCCATGCATCTGACTTTTGTCTGATATATCTTCTGATTAATGTCATCAAGTATAAATGATATTTCTCAACTCATCCAACAATACATCTTCAATGAGCTCTTCTACATAAAAAATTCCCACGAGCACACAAACACATAAAACTAAGCAGTCTTGTAAACTCAAGTAGGACGGATGAGGACATACTATTTATTATCCCGGGTTTTGTTTTGTGTGAGGATTTTTTTTGCAGGTCAAAATTTTTTAAATCAAAGAAGATTTGAAACTTCCAGAGGAAGAGAGGCCCGTTTTATAGCTTTACTAAGTGGTTTCCATGTTTAGGCGGAGAACCGAAAAGACTAAAAGTTTATTCGGGTCGGTTGGAGGAAATTGTTCCGAATTGAACCGATTAAATTAAAGAGTTTGGTTTGGCAGTATTTAAATTAGGCTCGGTTAGTTACTGTCCAAACCAAACCGATCACTAAAATTCGGTTCGGTTATGTATAAAAATTTGGAAGCAAATAATTGGGCCAAAATATACTTTTCACGTGACTTTGGGGCAAAACACACTTTTCATAGGCCCATAAACTTCTTCTCTGTCCTTTCGACTTTAAAAACTTTCTTCGATTCCATGAAGCTTTCTTTACCCTAATTAATTTTCTTGCGTCCAAATAAATGGGGAATTTTGTGTCAAACTACCGTTTTCGAATGAGAGAAATCGCGCTGGATTCCTTTCCCATGAAAGAAGGTGGCTGCAAAGAATCATTTACGGCTTGGCGAAATTCTCCAACGGAAATGAATTACGTGATGATGATGAACTGTATGAAGGCTCACCGTGAATACTATCAGCCGGTTATCGCGCCGACTGAAGCTAGTGGAGAAAAGTTCAAGAAGGAGCTCGAAGCCTTTTTTATGCCGTCAAAAGAAGATTTGAAACTTCCAGAGGAAGAGAGGGAAGAGGAATTGCTTATGCGGGTTTTCGATTTCATGAAAGGAGGTCCTTGCAAAGAAATATTTGGAGGAGGACTTTGATCAGGGGGACAAGGAACATATCAAGTGTCAGATGATGTGGAAGTGTACTAAGGCTAACTCTGATTACTATCAGCCGTTTCTAATGGCGCAGAAAGCTGCTGGGGAAGAATGTCGTAAGGAGCTCTCGAAGCTTTATCTCTCAAGCAAGCTGACGAGTGATTGAGCATAAATTCTTATAATAATAATAATAATAATATTGCTAGGAGCTTTTCCATCTGAATGAATACTCTTTTTAATTTATTGCCTCTTTTTATTAATAAGATTTGAACGATAACTTGTTCTAAAGGTCATTGAATGCTTCAGTGGAATTTTTAAGTGTTCCTAAGGATTGTTTGTTGGAGATTCCAGGATCCATTGTCAATGTTAGTGATTGTGTTTGCCAAGTGTTGTACAAGGCTTTAGATTAAAGATAATTTGGCTATATGATTCTTCTGTGCTAGTAAGTGATGATAATAAAAGGAGTAATGTTTGTTGTTTGGGGTTTGATCCTTTGGTAAGTAAACGCTCTTCAAATTGTTCAGCTTCTATATGCAGATCAAATCTCAACTGATTTGACATCACTAGCAACTTTTTGTTGCATATATCACTAGGAAGTCTCTTATCTACTTGGAATTGCTTTATAGTGTCCCGACTCCAAACAAAAAAAAGTGGATAATGATATTAGTGAGAAGCGGAAGCAACTTTCTCGCAGTTTTTCTGATTCAGAATCATCTTCAGAGAATCTTGGCGGTTTAGGAATGATGCCTAATGTCTTGGACATGAGCTGGTCAGAATCAAAAACATTGTTGGTGTGGTTAAAAGCTTCTCTCCGGTGAAGATAGAGTTTGCACCGGCAAGGAAACAAAGGGCCTGCTCCGCCATTGAGAACCAGACTCTCCCAGCAGATAATCTCACCATTGCTTTTGGCATTACAATAAGTGCGGTTCCAAATCATCTCCCATATCTCAATCGGCTGCAAGAACACAAAAAGAGTTTCAAAGCCATTTACCACTAAGTAGCCATGACTTGTATTATTTGTTTAGATTGTGAGATATACCTTCTGGTCTTCAAGAGGAGTGCCGTTCAGTCACTGCAAGCAGAGCATTAATGGGAACACTTTCAGGGTGAGAAGGAAGTGTTGCCAGTGTGTGTAATAAACCTACTCTGTCTTCCTCTGCCTCTCCAAGCCCTATGATTCCACCTGTTTATCGGTAAAATTAAAGAAAACACTTGAGAACATGTTTGTTGTTCTAATCTATGGATTTATCAAATCAACGAATATTAGGGAATTGTGAGTCTAATGACCAAGCTGGAGAAAGGTTTCAATCTTCTAGTTCTATAGAATTGAGGCATACAAGAATATGAAAATCCAGATTTTATATCTTTTCATATCAAGGTTACCTGAACAGACGTTGATTCCAGCTTCACGAACATGCTCAAGAGTTTCAAAGCGGTTGTCATAACTTCTAGTAGTGATGACGTTTGGGTAGTACTCTCTTGAAGTATCAAGATTGTGGTTATAGGCAGTGAATCCAGCTTTCTTTAGCTCTAGTGCTTGTTGTTTCTCAATCATGCCCAAGGTGCAGCAAACTTCCATCCCCGTGCCTCTGTTGTAAAGTGAGAGCCCAGAAAGTGAGTATACACATATGTTTCAGCCAGAGACCATAATCAACATCATATTCATATTCATATACACAAAGCTTTCTTCTTCAAATTTGTGAACAAGAAAAGGAAAGAGTGAGTGACTGAGAGAGAGAAGAGGAAATTACTCCATGGAAGAGGAGGTCAAGAAGTAGAAAATGATTATCAATACCTACTACTCCGCTTATCATCACTCACTAGCACATACTAATCATGTAACCAAGTTGGCTGAATATAAATCCTTGTACAACATTTGGCAAACACAATCACTGACTCTGTTATTAATTCCAAGTAGATAAGAGCCTTCCTAGTGTGATATATGCAACAAAGAGTTGCTAGTGGATGGAGTATATGTACAAGCATTCACAAACAAGAAAAAGAGTCTAAGTTTGACATTTAACTACAGAAGGCTTAATCAAGAACAGATTCTGCTCAGTTCAAAAGAGTGAGTCATTTTCTGTTGGGAGAAAAAGGCAGCATGAACTCAAAACCTAGCTGTCCAAGAAAACCATAAGCGAGCAGGACGATGATGAGAATGCTGCAGCTAGAGTTTCCTCGAAACATTTCATTATTTCATTAAACAGATCTTGTACTAGTTCAAAACTATCCCATGTGTTATTCTCCTGCAAACCAGCATATCAATTATCATTCGGCACAACCAATGGTTGTGTAATAAATTGATGGAAAACTAATGCAAGCTTCTTACACTAGGCTTAGATTATTGATTCATCGTAGCTGCCATTTGGTTCAAGAAATCTCCCATTCCCTGCAAGCATCACCAACAGGTTTCCATTAATTACACTGTTGATAGGTTCCAATAGTACAGATGATCATTTTCTATATAAACTTGTAAGGCTTGTCCTGATAAGATTTTCGTCATAACATTTGTAGGGTGGTTGTTTTCTCAGAATGGGAACCTGGTTTGCACAAGGACTGGTCATAAATCTGTAGCCCAACACTTGTTGCATGTGCTAAATGGAGTACTATACAACGGAAGTTGGGATTGTGGTTGTGAAGTCTAATTGACCACAGTTTATTGATGATGTTGGGGGAAGAGACTCCAGGATCTTTATTTGTAACTATTACTGATATTCTTTGTGTTTCCAAATCGTGATGTAAGAGTTTGGCGGTTGGCTGTTGGTACTTAGTAGTAAGACTTTAGAATGGTGAGTTTTTAGATTTGCTTGTAACCTAAGAAATATACCAGGGACTTGACAATAAACTGTTATGTGCCTGAAACCTAAGATTATATGGTCAACAAATAATTCTCAAGACGTTTTTCCGAGCTTTACTCGAAGTAGAGACTGCAGTTCCAGCGATCACCATAATAACAAAAGTGCATATAATGTTATAAATAAAGGAAACGATATCCTCTAATAAACAGAACATCGTCTAGGATAATAATAATAATGTTTAGAAAAAAAAAAAAAGAGAAGAAGAAGAAGAAGCTTGAACTAGAGATTATCCCAGTATCAATCTCGATTCTTTGAAGAAAAAAGTCTCATGAGATGCATCTCAATGAAACTCTTTGATTGCGCTATCGATCTCCATTCTTTTGATACAGCTTTGAATTTGACTAGAGATTTCACGGGAAGCCTCGAAAGTATCTCTTTCACTAGCTTTGTAGAAAGATTGATTGAATTTAAGGTTTTTTCCGTCTCCTTCATCTTTTGTGTGTGACTATGATTTCCCTTGAGACAAATCCAGTCTTTTACATTCATATATATACGCAAAACTAAAACTCTTGTTACTTATGGAATTGTATAATTAAGGTCCCATCTTTTATCTGACTTTCCTTTTTCTTTCCCGAAAACTTCCTATTTTGCAATATTTTTGCCCTTTTCCTTTTCTTTTTTTCTCTCCCAAGTAGTACTTTAACAATGTAATGCTTTTCGTTTTCCAAAACTATCAACTTTCCTTTTTCTTTATTTACATCAATGTATATTGCATGTCATGTATCTCATGACGTACTAAATAATGAAGAACACATCATGATGATACTTAAAACTTCATAGTGTCCCCAAGAAGAATGATGATGATCTTGACAAGAGGACCTCATATAAGATTCAGTCAGAAGAATGTTGATCTTGACTAGAGGACCTCCTATGATGATGGGAATGCATGTGTTTATGACGTTTGTGACAACGGTCTTCTTCAAGACGTTTTGATCTTTTGCTGCCAGAAACTTCACCCTTGTTGTCACCATATCGATCTTCCATACCTCGTGATCTCTCTTTTCTATCAGAACGAGACTCTGTCCTGGAACGCTCGTCTCTGTCTTTGCTGCGTCTTCTATGGGAGCTGTGTGTGTGTGAGCTCGTCCTGTGACTGTGATAAGACCTAAGGCTGCTTCGCTCTTTAAACTCTTCATCCCTTTCTACAGACCTCTTTTCCCGATAATATTCTTCCTCTCTATCCGACACATTTCCTTTTCTCCTAGGAGGTGATGGGATCTGCATCCAACAAGAAAGTTATGGTACTAAGATTTTAGTTTTGAACCCATCAGCTTTCAACTAGACACATTGAACAACCCATTAATATGCTATTTCTAGCAGAATAACATGAACAAATGACCCAATAAAATAGTACCAGAGGCAGAACAGGGATAAAGTTCAATTGACAATAGAGTGGTGGTGAAGTTAAAAACATGGTAGACCTGTGTGCGCGACATATATCTTCCCTCAGGCGGAAGCTGAATACCGAGCTTTTTCAAATCTACATGAGGGATTGGTCGCCTGATATTAACAAACAGAAAGATGCCCAGTTAAATATCTTTTTAAGGAATATGAAAATCAAAGGTTCATGATCACTGTGTTCTGCTGGTGTTTTCTTTGGACATGCTAAAGGAAGGATAAAGCAAAACCATACAAGGGAGCACGGAATGGTCTGTCTCGTCCTCCAAAGCGAAGTTGTCCAGATTCTTTCCTACCACCAAGCCCACCTCCTGTTTAGAGAGAAGAAGATTTAATCTTTAAGGGATGAAGATATAACTCTTTATGGAAATTTCATTACAGACCAAAGAAAAGCTACAAAATGACAGACCTAGTCTTCTTGGTATCCATCCAGGCATCAATTGCTGTCGATTGTAATCAACAATAACCTCCCGACCATCGATTAAAGAATGATGAGCATCCTGTAAAAACACCACAAACATTCTCACTCTGACAAAAAAAAACTCCACCAGTTTCCAGAACCAAAATGTACATGGAGATGTTAGTGAAACAAAAACTGTAAGTTTCATTCTCATACAGTATGCATTGCGGTGCCTTAATAAGTAGTTGAGACAGCTTTCAACAACAAAAACAAGAGGTAACAAAAATGCAATTGAGTATCACAGCACCTCATAAGCACAAAGCATCTCCTTTTCAGTCTCATACTCCACAAAAGCATACCCTCGTGAAGCTCCCGTCACTAAAAAAAAGGTAACAAGAAGAGGAGACTCAATAATCAGAGAAAAAATCTACACAATGTGGAGCTTAGAGGAAATCTGTAATCACAGAAATAGCTTGGTCGAAGAAGCAACAAACCATCAGAAATAGAAAGATGATAAATTTCCTAAAGATATAGCAAAGTGGTAATGTCATAAGAAGTTAGAGCAATTGCAAAATCTTACCAATGTGTCTAACCAAGCGCAAGTTTTTAATCCAGCCATACTTACTCATCACCTGCGAAGAAGAAACATTTATAATCATACTCAAAACATAGTTTACACGAAAAAAAACTAAGTGAAATTATAATCATTAACCTCTCGAATAGTATCTTCAGTAGTATGATGAGAGAGACGACCCACGAAGAGAGTACAGTAAGGATCTCCGATAGCTTTCGAATCACCAGAAGGATCGTCTTCGAAAACAACCCAAATCAATGAATGTGAATTCAGAAACCAAACGATTCAAGTGAAAAGAGGAACAGAGAGAAAGAGAGAGTTTACATAAGCCGGCGTTATAGCAGAGAAGAGCTCGACGGACGCCGTTATCATGTGGAGCAACGTCAGTTCCGTCAATACTTCCGGCTTGAATCGGATGATACGACGTCGCGTATAACACTTTGTTCACGACGTTGTTTCCTCCGCCGCTCATTTCTTCTTCCCCCTTCTCTCTCTCACGGCGGCTCCGGCTAATCAACAAGGATTTAAGGAAATAAAGAGAAACGTCGTCGTTTTAATTGATTACTATTTTCAGCCCAACATAAATTGGGCCTATTACAGCCCATTTAAGTGTCGGATTTTTATTATATTTTCGTAGGGACCACACAAGGCGGAAACTCCAACGGTGGCTGCTTTGGTTAGGTGAATCACTGAAGTGAAAGCTGAAGCACAAACCAAACACCAAATCTCATTCTTCTTCTTCTTCTTCTTCTTCTTCCGGTTTTAAAATTCATCTGATTTTGCAGATCAAATGATGCTTGTTCGGTCGGTGTTTCGATCTCGGATAAGACCATCTGTCTCTGGTGGTCTGCAATCTGTTTCTTGCTATTCTTCATCTGCTGCTTCAGCTGAAGCTGAAAGGACTATTAGAGAAGGTCCCAGAAATGATTGGAGTAAAGATGAAATCAAGTCTGTTTATGATTCTCCTGTTCTTGACCTCCTCTTCCATGGAGTAATTTCCTCTTCTCTCTCTCTCAGTCACTCACTCCTTCGTTTTCTTGTTCTAGCTCCTCTAGTTCACAAATTTGGAGTAGATAGCTTTGCGTTTCTATAAAATTATCGGTGGAAAGTATCGATTTTTACTTTTACTTTAACCAGGCTTCAATTTGCAATTTTTTGCTGAACTTGAATCTCTTTGAAACATGTGGCCTATTTATCAGGAATCTGGTCTGAAATTGTTAGTGTATTCCAAGATGTGTTTTTTTTTTTAATGTCGCTTAATTGCTATTAATATATGCTTGTAACGATGTGGGCTGTTTGGGTTTCAGGCTCAGGTTCATAGACATGTTCATAACTTCAGGGAGGTACAACAATGTACTCTCCTCTCTATAAAGACTGGTGGCTGCAGTGAAGACTGTTCATATTGTCCTCAATCCTCGAGATATAGCACTGGAGTTAAGGCCCAAAGACTCATGTCCAAGGACGCTGTCATTGATGCTGCAAAGAAGGTTATCACTTTTCTTGTGAATTTTTGCTGAATGTATATTCCTTAGACTATTAGAGGGGACATGAACTACAAAGTACCAACCATTTCTTTTATCAATCTGAACTCTATTTAAAAGAGTCTAAATGCATTGTGTAGCTGACAATGTAGAATCCTGTGATTGTTTAATGAAGCATTTTGAGGATGTAATGAGCTCTTCTGATTTGCATTAACAAATTTGATGTGTTGTTAGGCAAAAGAAGCTGGGAGCACACGTTTTTGCATGGGTGCTGCATGGCGAGATACAATTGGACGGAAAACCAACTTCAACCAGATTCTTGAATACATCAAAGAAATAAGGTATTCTTATTATTGTTGGCAATTTATGATGCTTTTTAAGTTAAACCTCATTTGTTCCTTGTTTATACTACATTATATGATCCCCTTTTCAGCTGCTTCTGAATCTAAGCCAACTCAAAAGATAACCCACCAGAAACGACCATTAAAAAGTGTTTTGGATTCTTTAACGGTTCTAGAATGAATTTTTGTGGATGTCAAACTTGAGTTAGGTAAATTTTACCCTTGTTGTGGAAGATTTCTTTGAAGCGAAATTTTCAAAGTGTACTTGTTGTATCCGTGAGCAGAATGAACATGATGTTGATTATGGTCTCTGGCTGAAACATATGTGTATACTTACTTTCTGGGCTCTCACTTTACAACAGAGGCATGGGGATGGAAGTTTGCTGCACCTTGGGCATGATTGAGAAACAACAAGCACTAGAGCTAAAGAAAGCTGGACTCACTGCCTATAACCACAATCTTGATACTTCAAGAGAGTACTACCCAAACGTCATCACTACTAGAAGTTATGACGACCGCCTTGAAACTCTTGAGCATGTTCGTGAAGCTGGAATCAACGTTTGTTCAGGTAACTTCAATACGAAAACATATAAAATCTGGATTTTCTTAATCTTGTATGCCTCAATTCTATAGAACTAGAAGATTGAAACCTTTCTCCAGCTTGGTCATTAGACTCACAATTCCCTAATATTCGTTGATTTGATAAATCCATAGCTAAGAACACCAAACATGTTCTCAAGTGTTTTCTTTTTACCGATAAACAGGAGGAATCATAGGGCTTGGAGAGGCAGAGGAAGACAGAGTAGGTCTATTACACACACTAGCAACACTTCCTATGCACCCTGAGAGTGTTCCCATTAATGCTCTACTTGCAGTGAAAGGCACTCCTCTCGAAGACCAGAAGGTATATCTCGACAATCTGAAAACACGTAATACAAGTCATAGCTACTTAGTGGTAAATGACTTTGAAACCTTTTGTGTTTTTGCAGCCGGTTGAGATATGGGAGATGATCAGGATGATTGGAACCGCACGTATTGTAATGCCAAAAGCAATGGTGAGATTGTCTGCTGGTAGAGTCCGGTTCTCAATGGCCGAGCAAGCCCTTTGTTTCCTTGCTGGTGCAAACTCTATCTTCACGGGAGAGAAGCTTCTAACCACACCAAACAATGATTTTGATGCCGACCAGCTCATGTTCAAGACATTAGGCCTCATTCCTAAACCGCCAAGTTTCTCTGAAGATAATTCAGAAGCAGAAAACTGCGACAAAGTTGCTTCCGCTTCTCACTAATATCATTATCCACTTTTTTTTGTTTGGAGTCGGGACACTAGAAAGCTGTCCCTTTTACAATGTAGCATGATTTGACGATTTTGTGATAACATTGTTCGTTAATCGTTATTCATAGATGTCTAGATTTCATCAGAAAGTAAACTTATTATTCTAGAATGTGATGAAAATTGTAGAGAAAAATCAAAAATGCAATAAATCTCTCAAACTAATTATAGAAAAGTTAGCAATAGTGTTTCAAGGCTCAGATGGGCCTATAATGGGCGTAACTTATCAACTAAATCGTGGCCCATGTAAAGCCCGTTAAAGCTTCAAATATTTCCCATGTCAACAAGCTGGTTCTGACCTGTTTAGTTTTGTTCTGAGATCGTCTTGTTCATCAAAGAGAAGACTAACAGAGTTTTTTTTTTTTTTTTTTTCCTCGATGCCTAGATCAAGCAGATGGGTCAATCATCGAGCTACCTCTAAGACTAAAAAATTGATTCTCTTCTTGCTTGTAGCCTTCGTCTTCTACCTCTACAGATACCCTTCTTCTCCATCCACAGTGGAACAATCATCCAGTTCCATCTACAACGTTTCCGTTAAGGTATAATCAGCTTAAACTTGGATATTTAGAAGCCAATTGTTCACCCTCTATGTTGGTCTGCGTCGATGTTTGGTTCTGATTCTGAAGAATCATTCTAATCGCTGATGTTTATTTATGAAAACTTCATGTTTTACTGCGAATTTAGCTTAAGATACTAAATCTATACGAGTGCTTCATTTGAAGGACTTTGTCTAGCTAAGATACTGAATCAAGAGGAGTGCATATATTTAGTGTTAGATTAGGAAATGACTTTGTTTTGTGTGTTTTTTTAAGTGAATCTTTCAATGACTATATGCCTCTTAAGTTCATCTTTGTAGTAACATTATTTATCATAACACCATAACTCCGTATCAAATTTTTCGAATTGAAAATGCAGGACATCGAAGGGAAAGATGTGAGTTTGAGCAAGTTCACCGGAAAAGTGCTTCTCATCGTCAATGTAGCCTCTAAGTGGTATGCTACTAAGTACTTATTGTTCTTACTCCTGTCTTCACACCAACTCCTAAATCTTCACAAACAGTATTGTTCTACTCGAACCGTTTCATGTGGACGGATTCTTTTGCATCAACTATACTTTATTTAGGAATAGCGCAACTCCTCAATGGCTTACAGAAGTGTTGCATATAATGTCACATTACATTGGCGTTATATATAAAATCTTGTTGTGATGAATGGGCAGTGGTCTAACACATGGAAACTACAAAGAAATGAACATTTTGTATGCCAAGTACAAAACTCAGGGTGCGTCTCTTTATCTCGCTTAGCCTTTCTCAGGTTAATAACTAATTGAACATTTATAAGTATTAAGGGAAGCATCGTTTTACGCAGGGTTTGAGATCTTAGCATTTCCTTGCAACCAATTTGGTAGTCAAGAGCCAGGTAGCAACAAGGAGATCAAGGAAACTGTTTGCAATATCTTCAAAGCAGAATTCCCAATCTTTGACAAGGTCTCGCAAACTTTTAAACTAGTCTCAATTTTCATCACACAGTGCCAATTTTGCCTAGTTGTTTACATATCTTTTTTCCAATGCAAGATTGAAGTAAATGGAAAGAACACTTGTCCCCTTTACAACTTCTTAAAAGAACAAAAAGGAGGATTGTTTGGGGATGCTATTAAGTGGAATTTCGCTAAATTTCTGGTAGACAGACAAGGAAATGTCGTGGACCGATATGCTCCAACTACATCACCTCTTGAAATTGAGGTTAGTAGAAGTTTCCCCTCATACATGATATTCATTTCTCTAATCATTGAGCTTACTCTGTAGTTTTCTCGCTCTTCTTTTCGCAGAAGGACATCGTGAAGCTATTGGCATCTGCTTGAACATAAAAGTTAAAGGTGAGTTTATGTGTAAGCCCCCAATGATCTTATTTTCCCTCTCTGGATTAAGACAAGAAACTAATTACCAGGTTGAAAGTTATAGAGATTAGATAAAGTGATATGTGGCATGTGAACATATACATCTGTAGTTAGAACTTGGCAACTGTTGCCTAACTCTTAGGGTAGTTAGGTTGTAATAACTCCTCCAAGCTCATGGGTGAAACATAGAAGCAACAGAATCTTTTGTGAAATTGGTATTACACTTTTATGGGCAATAAATTTATTAGATCCTTTGAGATTTTTCTCTGGAAATGCTTATGGAATCAATAAGGAATATAATGTGGACCGATTTGGTGCAGGACAGGAAAGCAAACGCATCGCATCAAACATGTCTGAGACTGAGAATGAAAACCACTTTCTATACTTATTCTTTACATGTATGTTTATCTAAAACCATCCTTGGAAAAGAAGATGCTTGTCTGAATCTGTGAACCTCATTTTCTGTAACAAGACCCCAACAAATTGCTTATGAAATATCAATAAAGAACAAAGTTTTATTCATTTTCCTCTTATTAATCATCCATTACAACAATGTCCTAGCAAAATCTTAGTTGATCATTAATCTTTTTATACAGTGTGAGCAAAGAGCTCTACAACAATGGGTGTTTTCAAGCAGGTCAGTCTCATAAGAGATTTCACTCCTGCAAATTGTCTTGTTCATCGTCTTCGTTCCCCTCCATTGGTTCCTCAAATTTTGATTGATCAAATCCAAATCTCTTCTTCAAGTGCATAATCTCACAGTACATGCCACAGCTTGTGCCCAAAATTTTAACCTAGCTTTAACATCATCAGGATTATCACCTGTTTTCACAAAACATAATCAGATAAACTAAAACTTGCAAATGTAATCAAAGAGTTAAAAAAAATTGAGAGTTACCAGGACTAGAGATCTTCCAGCTAGCAATAGGACTAACAGGAGAATCAAGAACCGACAATTTCTTCTCCGGGGAAGAAGAAGAAGAAGAATGATGATGATCTTGATGATCAATAAACTTCTGACTCATAGAGTAACAAAGCTCAAGAGCTGGTAAAGTATTACAAAGCTCAGGAATCTCCTCGTAATTGAAACCAAATCCTAGATCTACACATCCCTTAAGCTCCTCGAGATCATCGTCCGTTAAACTCTTGGTTCTCTTCAAATCATCATTCACGCCTGAATCAACTACATAACCTTCTAACAACACATTACTCTTCTTCTTCTCCAGTTTCTTTGTTTTCTTCTTCGACTCAACAACACCAAAGCCATTGTCGATCTCTTCTTCCTCAGATTCACTGTACGAACAAGAACTGAAACTGGAAGTAGAGATCTCGCTGTCGGAATCAACGTCTGCTTCGTAGGAAGAGCAACGAGAGAGAAAATCTGAATCGCACATTGTGAGTACTCTGTTTTTGTATGGAGAGGAAAGTGGTAATTAAAGAAGAAAGGGTGAAAAAGAGACAAAGTGAAGAGAGAAAGAAGAAGAAGAGTTGCTTTATAAAGAAGTTATTATTATCGGGCGGCAATTATTTTTTGTCTCTTTCTAATCATGTGGTCATTAATCAATTTATGTGTATGTATGTTATGATGATATATGATAATCACGTAGGGCCGGGAAATATGGCCCACCATGTGCGGCTAGAATCTAGATCAACGAATCGTCCGTCAGAGAGCACCTTTTCGCGTATTATTATTACTAGATGAATATCCACGCGTGGATTTATTTTGAAAATTGTGAAGAAAAAATTATTGATTATTTTTGCTAATTTATGTTTATTTTTTATTTGTTATTATGTAGGTAATAAAACTAAATCTTTCTTATGTAGTTACAATTTTTAATGGGCTCAACTCATAAATATTACACTCTAATAGATTCTAAAACACATATGGTCCATCTCTCATGGGCTATTTTGTTTTTCCATTTGACACTTATAATTAGAAGCTGATGTGTATTAATGAAATGTTTTGATTGGACGAATAAAAAGCTGATGTGTCATCTCCAGAAGAGCCAAAAATGCTGACGTGGCGGAAGGATGGAGAGAGATAGCCTCCTTTCATATATATGATTCCCACTTTTTTTAGCTGAAACATACAAAATTAGTATTTTTAGTAATCTGCATATTTTTATGATTTAATGGCATTGGAATATCTAAAATTCGGAATAAATGAAATTTGAAAAGTTTTCTGTATTGTTTTAAAATAAAAGTTCGAAAGCAATAACATAACGGATTGGACATTTGTGTGTTTCGTATCATGGTTACTTCTTCATCAAAATGTAGTTTAGAAGCTAGACTTTGCTTATGTAGTTTAGAAGCTAGACTTTGCTTACGTGTGGAGAATTGGAGAGGAAGTGAGTAACTTATTGTATTGCGTCGAGAATAAACAAATTGATACAACTCATCGCTAGTTATTTTTCTCAGCATTAAACGGAATTTGCCAATTACGTACCATCATACGTCATTTGAACTTAATATGATTTTTAAAAAGACTACCTTAATATGATTTTTAAAAAGACTACCAATTCATCTATTTAAAATTTTGGGACTTTATAAAAATATCTATATATACACGGTCTTCTGGCTTACATAACATAATAAAAAAATTATCCATAAAACAAAAGAAAATATAGTCTAAAATATATATAGAAATTCGCAAAATAATATTGTATGGATATTATATTAAATAAGTTTTTTGATGAAATAATTATGTTATTATTGCATATGTATGTTAGTCAAATATAGTAGTTATGTATGGACGGACATAATAAAAAAAAATGTATGGACGGACATATTTTCACATCTAACTTCTCGCGGCCGCAACAAGAAGTCGTTGCTCCAACTCGTTAGGTTGCTGCAATTATTTTACTGAAAAGATAATTGTACTCAACAGCGAACAAAACATGATTAAAATGTAATTTAATTTAATAAAGAACTACTATTATGTAGGTGAAAGACGAACTAGTATTAGATAAAATAATGATTTTCTACAAATCTAATTATAAACAATTCACCTTTGGCCTGCCAATAAGTCGTTGGCCTCGAGATGCGCCACGTCAGTTTTACATGTCCCTACGACTTAAAAACAAAATTTTATTACGACAAATTTTTGATTCCGCAAAAAGATTTTGTTTTATATTTATGTCTATAGAAATTAGCAAGCAAATAAAAAGTGTGATTCTTTAACTTTCTATAGCTTGATGCCTTGATCGTTGATGCCTTGATCGACAATGTTATAAGTGAGATGAAGCAAATCCGTGGAATGACTATTAGGTGTAGCGAAATTTTACTTATTTCAGCAAATTAAATTACTCTAGAACATATATATGTATTAGTTCAATTAACTTATTGTTAGAAATTGACATATCGTGACTTATTACGAGTTTTATCATTATATAATGGATTAGCTGATGTATTTACTAAGCAAAAGAAAATAATTTAATTCTAATTATATGAATATCAAATCCCCATAACAACGTCTACCGCTATGTAATGATTGGTTTCTCAAGTCATAAACTCCATCTTTTTGGTAATTATTGAAATGGGTAACCAATCCTTATATAGAGCTTCTGTTCGAAAGATTCTTGCTGTACACAGCTAAAATACGTAACATAAGAAATCATAAAGAGAAAAAAGAATCATAAACAGAAGAAATATTGTAGAAGCCAAAAGAAGATATCAAGATTGCTTCTCGAAATTTCTAGTGGAGAAAGAATAAATTATGAAAGAAAATGATCGTGGTCCAGCTTTTGATGAGCTAATTGGCTTCATTGACAAATTAACATGACTTTGATATATAGTACGCCGGCGTCAAATGGAGACAAACGTGTCATGTTAATAATATCTATGCACATGAACGTGTTATGCTAATATATTTCATATATGACATTCATGTCATGGTCTGATGATGGTCACATGACATGGTACGTAACCACACCTTCTATTGATGTGGGTTATATAGTCAAATATAAAAGCAGGATAAGAGGACACTAGTTTAGTTTCCCATATTATTGCGATTATTGGTCATTTGAGTGATCAACCATATGTTAATTTAAATTGGTATAAAATGTTCTTTCATTTAAATTGTAATTGTCAGTATTTATCAAAAAGAAAAGTTAGTAATTTCATGAACACACACACATAAAGTAATTATAGTTGAATTGATCGCAAATTCCGTCCACTAATCTCTAGTGCATGTAACTCATAAAAGAGAAGGATCACGAGATACAAACCAAATAAAGTTAATTTTCCCCTTCTCATAACCATCAAAAAAGTTTATTTTGTTTGATCAACAGCCATCAGATAAGTTCTGTTTCGTGAACTAAACTCAGAAGCAAGTGAATATTATTATAACTACAAAAGTAGTTTAAGTCAATAATTGTGGTGATGGAAACAATTAACAAAGCATGTGGGAAGGGTAAGGGATTATAAATGTTGTGGAAACGGAAGAGAGTCACATGTGAACAAGAGAACTAGAGAAGAAGACAAAAGGCAGGGGAGACGCCACGTGGATAGTTACGATAAGAAATTTAAGGGCTTAAAGGGATTATAAGAGGGGCTCACTAGAAAATAGAGACAAGAAGAGAGCCAACAACTCACGTGTCCCCATTTCCTTTTTGCTTATTCGGCTCAACTAATCAGCACCACATTTCACACCCACTCTCTGGTCTTCACGACATTCATGTTCAAACTTTGGTCCCATTTCCATCATTTTCATTTGTCCATTTACCACATATTTATTCTTCTTCTTTTTATCATCCTTTTTTATTATATTTTTTTTTCTTTCATTTATCAATCCGTGATTTTATAGTTTTTCTCCTTTTTTTCTTCAACTCACGGGGTGATATTATATAACGGCTACGTAAAATATATTGTATATACTCGGTCATAGTCGAGAAAAATATCTATATGTCATAGAAAATTTGACTATGAAAGAAATATAATGGCACTCATTTCAGCTAGATAACCATATCTAAAAGAAGATGACTCATTTCATGTCTTTCAGATAAGTACAAACAAAAAAAAAAAAAGGAAAAATCGAGGAAAGATGATTAAAGTAATCAAAATCACCGTTTGACACCAAATAGTATCGAGTTACCACCAAAACACCAACCTACATTGTCATTGTATAGTGACACATAAGACAACACAAAGGATCGATACGTTACACAATATCCAATCATACATTTTGGTGGCCCTTTTATGTCCCTAATTTGATTGCCGTGTCCACTACTACAATTTAATGTTTCTTTTTCATCATCTCCCTTAATTTTCCTTCAATTAATGTTTTGGACAAAAAGCCTGTTCATCTATTCAATGGAACACAGTTCCTAATTTAGTTCTGTGGCTTAAAGACAAGTCTTATGTTTGTGCATCCACATTCATCTATTCAATGCTCTTTTCGACTTTTCTCTGCTCTTCCTTAATGACAAAAACCGCACCGTTTGCATCATACACACATGCATCATAGAGATTTGCAGACAAGAAATCTCTAGAACATAAGACATTGACAAAGATTGGGTACCAAA